ACATCATAACACTGGGAATGGAAGCTAAGGCTTTCTTCACTTCGGGTCGTTCCCAAGTCTGGATGTAGCAATTGAAATGATACTCTTTCACCTGTGCTTTCACATCATCATGAAAATCACAGGTCTACTTCTCGTTCCATTGCGTCTTCACCCATCTTTTCAGAAAAGGAACATCTTCAAAGATGAAGTCGATGTAATTCTGATCTTCACCCCACAACAGAATATGCAATGGAGTTTCGCTGTGAACCGAATCTAAATGTTCCCAGATACAGCCGAAGGTCAGAGCCGATTTGGTCTGTTCGGGAACGGCCGCATCGAAACCGTTCCAGGAAAAATCCTCCGCGCCACTTCTGTTGATATCGTGCAATGCAAAATAATCCGTTGGTGATTCGGTCGCCCCAGTTCACCGTCCAACGGATTTCGTCATCACCCACGCCGTCTCGCAATTCGATCGAGAGATTGATCCGATAGACACACATGTTGAACAGATTCTCGTGTAACAACTCCCAATTGTAATCGAGTCTCGGCTCACAGACGAATTCAATGTGTGGTGAGGGTGCAATTGGTTTGTTTGCCATTAGATGAACTCCACACTGACGAATCTATCAAAGAAAAAGTGAATTAAACCCGTTGTCTGTTGAAAACAGATGTGATTGATAGGGCATAGCCGAAGGTCAGAGCCGATTTGGTCTGTTCGGGAACGGTTCGGGAATCGCTGCGGTGGGGTTTAAGACTGTCTGTGTCTGGATGTGGACGATACACTTCTTGTGCTTCGAAGAAATTTTCGTAGTGGTCCGCCGCGAGATCGCACATCTTCTTTGCATGTTTGATCACTTCTTCATTCTTCGATAGAAAGCCATGTATTGTTGAGGATGGCGATTTCATGAATCTCTGGCATTGGACCAGAAAGCCAGTGATCGGTGTATTGAGATGTTCCGATTGGCAATAGCGAGTGTCAGGTGTTCTCAGAGAAATTCGTTAAGGGCGAGTCTAGCTTCTTTCCTTCGGTTCGTCACAATACTCTTTATGACCATGTTTTCCGTTCTTTTCTGCTTGAATGAAAGTGCTCGGGTGAGAGACATGAAGGAGCGAAGAGATGGTGGGATTGCGACGCGGTATTTATCAAGGGGAAAGTGTCTTGTACATCTACCAGTCAGTACTTTTTCTTCACCCTACTACTTTTTATTACGTACCATTGTGATTCGAGTGAACGCCTAGGATGCTGCAGCAGCCACCTGTTCGCGGATGATCTGGCTGCCGTTATGGCTGGATCGATCGGCATGAAATTCTCCATGCAATGCCTCGACCTTGAAAAGAAACTAAAATACTTCTTCGAAAGGCTGGAATACTACTGTGTTCTCACAGTTTAACCAATCAAGTTTGAGAAAACACACGGGATGCTCTCTGCTCGCGTGATCAAGATACCAGAGATCAAGTTAAACTGTGGCGAACATGCGATCAAGTGGGTCTCCGAGGTGAAGTACTTGGGCTACATGTGAACACCGAAAGTGGGATTCGGATCGATGATAAACAGAGCAGAAGTCAAGATCAGACAGAGAATATCAATGATCATGACGTTACGATTGAGGGAGTTCTTTTCACCTAAGCCGCGCAAAGTTCTCTTCATGCCATTTGTTCTTTCCATTTCCGTATGGCTGTTTCCTTTTTACCCTCTCTTCACAGCACAGCAACAACGGATACTGAACGAGCTGTATATCAGCTCGCTAAGAAGAATCACTGATTGCCTACAATGGCATCAGTTTTTCTTCATGTCCGCTACAGAGGAGAGATCGCTGGAAGACAGATGTAGAAGATAACGGGAAAATTTCTCCTAGCACTAGCAGATTCCACGGACGGACAACTCATTCTAGAACAATGCAATCTAAAGGTGTAAAGAGACATTTGGTTGCGCGAGGAGAGGAGAATAGCGGGGCTACATCGATCTAAAAGATTTGTATACCGCCGATCCGTCTTGGAGGACTGCCTAAGTTGGTGTGAAGTTCTTCCACGGAACGACTCCATGCCAAACTCGACTTAAGGGAAATCGACACGCTTCGACTCTTCCCGGATTCTTGCTAGGCTAGACAACATATGCGTGATTTCCCATGACCCTTCGGTGAAGTTATCTGTCCTGGCTAGTCGACCGTTCCCTTGCTGAATGCACTGCATGGCATATGATTCTATCCTAGTTCTTGTTGTTTACACCATCTCATTCTCATCCTCATTGTAATTAGCAATCTCCAGTCTTTACTCTATCCTCTCTCCATTTTCTTCCGCGCTCTTCTCCTTTTCCTTCGATGTATCAACGCCAAATTTTTTTTCTTTGGGAATCTGTACTACGAGGACAGCAGTCGGCAGATCGAATAAAGCAAACAAACAGAGAAATCACTGCAAAATAATAGCTCAAAGAAACGACTTGTTCTCTGCTATTTCTGTTGTCTAAATAATTTTGCTCGAGAAAAAAAAATTTTTTTTTCAAGCGCAGTTCACCATTCGGTATGGTTAACATGAGACGTAATTAATCTCATTTCTGATAAGTGCTCCTGTCGTGGTAACCAATATACACAAGAAAACTGATGTACAAAACAAAAGCACTCATCTATTTGTAAGTGCAGAAAAAGATTGCTTTTTACAAAAAAAAGGACATTACTTTTGCCATTCAGATATTGTTTAGTGAAACGAACAGTGTATAAACAGTGAAATAAGGTCTACCAAGCGACAAATCCAGCAAACAACGAGAGATAGAAAGAGGAAATGACCAAGATTATATCAACAAGTTTCCCTAAATTGAACCTTCCATCTCTTAAAAATGTATTATCTATTTAAATTTTTTTTATTTCTACGTATTACAATAAAATATATTCTTAGACTGTACCGACTTCCTTGCATGAATCAAGCACAAATGTCCTTGATGATTTGGCTTGCCATCCAAACCAGAGTGGAAATTTAGCCAATTCAACAAGTGCTCGGTCTGTCACTGTCAATTTCGAGTCAATACCATTAGTTCCATCAGCGCGGTATGTTTTCTTTATGTTTTATATTTCAACCTTATCTGGGATTTTTTCTGCTAGAAAGAACATATGGAGACGCTTACCAGCTTGGGCAAAGGTTGGAATTGCTGCAACAATATTTGCAGCTGTAGCAGCAGGAGTTATTATTCCAGCGATTTATTTCAGTCCAGAAGGTCAGTAATTTAATTTTTATTGAACAGACATGTTTAGTTTCGAAATTAGCCATTTTTTGGTAGCGAGAAATGGCAGTTCGTTCGCATCTTATATAAAAAGATATAGATCGTTACTCTTATTTTCTACACACTAATGAACTTTCGTATATTTATCCCTTTGAAAAAAGCTGTTAGCGCAATCGCTGTGGGATTAAAAAGTAAAATGCGATCCAGCTGCTCATATTGTAGATTAACAAACTGCCAACGTGTCTGCCAGAGTCTATAAGAAGATTGCGTTATTAAGGTGTTTATTGTTACGACCGGCAGTTTCTCCAGATACGGTCATCAGGATTTTTCTTTTTATCTCTGTTAGTGTGTGTATACATGTGAGGGCCCGAAACGGTCCGCCATGACCAGCCTGACCCGGCCCGAATCAGCCTAGCCCAACGGAATTTTCTTTCGGGTCGGATGAGCTAGAATTTTGGTCGGGCCGGTCCGGTCCGGTTCGGAGTTTTGTATGTTTTTGTTAAAGTTTAACGCGCTTTATGTCTATCATAAGTTATCCAAATTATTGAAAACTTTTATCATGGAAAAATACGCGAGTTGTACGTAGAAATTTGTAAAAAATAGCATAATAATAGCTCAAACTAGTTGTCTGGTTTGACCATATCCTGTATCCTGTAGTATATTAACTACATTAGTTAATGTGAGAATGTGATTGACAGATGAAATACAGTGGCTGCCAAAAGTATCCAACAGGGTTTACTTTTCATTTTTCTCCGCTTCGGCAAGTGTTAGAGAAAATTTCAAAAAATTTTTCGATAGAGAAGATTGTTTCCAACAAATCTACGGTCGAAAATTTTTTTTATCCACCTTTCTGGAAACGGGACACGAAAAATACGAAAAGTATAGGATTTTAGACTCTAGAAGACAGCGTTATTCTTTCGTTTCAACAATGTGGGATGATAGAGTAAAGAATTCTCTACAAAATGAGACGTCTCCTGACTCTGTGCGACCTTTGGTTACTGAGATACAGCGATCAGAAGATGGACAAAAAAGCGATTTTTCCAATGAAAACGATAAAAAAACAGTATTTTCACCTGTTTTGTGATCGCTGTATCTCAGTAACCAAAGGTCGCACAGAGTCAGGAGACGTCTCATTTTGTAGAGAATTCTTTACTCTATCATCCCACATTGTTGAAACGAAAGAATAATGCTGTCTTCTAGAGTCTAAAATCCTATACTTTTCATATTTTTCGTGTCCCGTTTCCAGAAAGGTGGATAAAAAAAATTTTCGACCGTAGATTTGTTGGAAACAATCTTCTCTATCGAAAGATTTTTTGAAATTTTCTCTAACACTTGCCGAAGCGGAGAAAAATGAAAAGTAAACCCTGTTGGATACTTTTGAGAGCCACTGTAGGGCAACAACGCTACAGGACACATAGTCATGGGTCCATGAAAAATAAAACATGTACTGGTTTACGTTTCTCATACTTAAGCCTGATGGAGCTATATGCTCTCTATACTTCCTTGCATCTATTCACTCCCTTCTGTCCTTTCACTCCCTTCAGTCATTGAAGGGACAAAAAGAATAGAAAGGACTGAAGGGGCAGTAGGGGCTGAAAGGACAGGAGGGACTGAAGGGAGTGAAGGGACTAAAGCATGTGTAGAAGAAATTGTTCGTCGAGACGTACATATGTAAAAAGTAAACCGATACATGTTTTATTTTTCGTGGACCCCTCTCTCAAGGACATTGTTGACCATGCAAGTAAATTTTGAGTTTTCTCGTGAAACAATCTCGGTAAAAACTATCTCTATCAGGCCTGGGCTGGGCCGGATGGGCCCAACATCTACGGACCGAGCTGTACTAAAATTAGAACGGGCCGCACGGGCTAACGTTTTATTCGGACCATGTTGGGCCGAACCAGTCCATTAAAACCAGACCCGTTTTGAGCCCTGGTATACGTTTATTCTTCTTTTCTTCTCTTAGTTATGCATTATGGATCTTTCCTTTCCTTTTGTTCTTTCGTTCATGTTAGATACTCCAGTCATAGTTGTATGAACATTTCTCTTGTGTTGGTTTTTCCTTTCATGTTCATCCTTTGTATGAGTTTCCACCCCATGGGCTTTCCCTTTTCTTTTCATCACATATATATATATATATATATGTAGTAATTCCAAGGTTCCCGTATTGCAGGGATTCTACGGAATTCTGCTGACCGGAATCAATTATCTTCTGCTTGGGTTTTTCCATTATTGTAAGGACGACAGATAATATTGTTTGTATCGATTAGAGGTTTTCGAGAGCCCTCTTTAATTCGCCGCTAACGATCCATGTGATTTTTGAACCATAAGAGAGAACAAGGCATGAAGGTAGCGAGGAGGGATGGGTTTTGGTTCACAATTTTTCCCACCATTGTAAGAATGAAACAAAATGTAGTCTGCATCGATTATAGGTTTTCAAGAGTACTGGTTAAATTGTCCCGAACAACCACTCGATATCTGTTATTGTAATTCAGTCATTGTAGAGTGACAGAGCTAGAGATTCGGATCTCACATCTAATCACTACCTATGGTTGAAAAAGTGGGAGGTTGCTAAGGTATCTGTCATGGTCTGTGGGAGGAGGGAGAAATCCAAACTTCTATTCCTATACTTCAACGCTCTTTTTAGATCCTATGTTACAGCAGAGACTCTGCGTACTTATTTAAGGAACGCAGCATAGTTTGTATTTATGAGACTGACGGAAATTGTCGAAGCCAAAAATTAGAGTGTTAGTGAGGGCATGGGTGAACCTGAGGGTGCTGATGGGTTAGAAGGATACCAATAGCATAGAAGAAATATAGTTTATTCCATTCTGGATTTTTCTCTTCCATATTTTCATTTTCGACGTTTTTTGCCAAATCCGTATTTATTTGTGGTTGAATAGTGAAAATAAATTAGCACTCTTCTACTATAATCGATATACCGTTCTTATGTTAGCAATACTTTGCGATATTTTGTAAATTAAATTAGGAAAACACCAGGATGAAATAGAAAATTAACAGTTTCCATCTGCTTAGTTAATGTGATCATACATCACATTAAGACAAAATGTGTTGTAATTTGCGGCACATTCGGAGTGTGTAGTTCAAATGCACTTTTTGTTCCTGTTTATATTTTTTATATAGAAACAATTATTGGTTTTCAGCTCAATCATAATTATGAAAACAATTCCTTGATCACAAAATAATGCGATCTTGAGTTGCAACCGATTCGGTTCGACTGAACCGCTTCGAGACAGGATATTCCTGATCATTAAACAGTCGATGCACTCCCAATCAGTGATTTATTGCGAAAATCATCGGAAAACGACACATGTTAAAATGTAGAGTGGGTCAGCAGTAATGGAATATTGGATTCTTTTCAACTTTTTTTGTGAAACCGATCTAAAAGGAGTGTTGAGGTATATCGGGATAGAACTTTCGACCCGCTATCTCCCTCAAAGACCGTGACCGATATTGTAGTAACTCTTACTATTCTACCATAGACTACCGATCATGTACTGATCATGTTCAAACTGTGATCCATAAAGGACCAAAGACCACCAGAGACACTTAATTGAACAAACTATAGATATTTGGTATGCAATATACGCAGCTATATCGTGTTTCACATTTGTAATCCCGCAAGGATTGCGCTAACAGTTTTTCTTTATAGATTTACAGTTCGATCTCATATTTGAACCACGTATGCTAGATGACAATACTCAGAAAAGGTCTATTATCAATCTTTGGCTGCAAGGATTTGTCGGAAAACATAAAAATACCAGTGACCTTACGGCACATTCACTAGCAACACATGAAAAGTGACACATTTTATTTTAATGTTTATGACTCGTTTACGATGTCATAATAATTGCCAACGATCAAATACGAGTCGGATACCATAAGCAATTGTAAATAGTTTGTACTTCCAACACGAATAAATATGACGAGCATAATACTTGACGCCGTTTATGGTACTAGTAAACGCTTCCTATTGCTAAAATGATGTTGCTGCATATAATCCTATTTGTGCATAGGCAATCCGTTCAAGACAAAGACAATCCGAACTTAAAAAATACGAAATATCATGATTGCCGGCTATAAAATATTTGTTTAGTTGAAGGGGAAAATAATACATAACTATTATCAACCCGAAAATGAAAAAATAGTAGTGCTTATTGAATGTGACCAAGATTAAGACTGAGGCTAATAATAAGTTCTCTTTAGTAAAAGGATTCTATAAGACGCGTGCAAGATTTTACCAAACTCTGTTACATTTTTTACCACAGAATAGTTTTAGTTGAGTAATATACAAAAAAAAGTTTTATATAATAATCAGACTAGACAGTGTGTGTGTCAACGAGCATCCTTATCATGCTGATGCATATATGCTGCTCATATAGTTCTGTGTATGATGAACATAAAGAGAGTGTCTTATCATCAGGGAACAAGGGTTCAGATGTGTGCACTGTCACTTATGTATCAGTTGTTCTTTTCAACAATCTACTGGTGTTTACAATCTTAAATTATTATAGCGACAGTAACATACAGCACAACGACTTCAACAACGAGTACATCAACAACCGGCACCAGCAGTACAAGCACAACAACAACCACGACAACAACCACAACTGCAACGACGACAACAACAACCACAACAACGACAACTACAACAACGATAACGACAACCACAACAACAACAACGACCACGACAACCACCACGACAACCACCATGACAACAACTACAACAACAACAAGTATAACAACAACAACAACCACGACAACAACAACAACAACTGCTACAACGACCACGGCAACAACTAGTACAACAACGACAACAACAACAACAACAACATCAACTACAACAACAACAACAACTACAACAACTACAACCACAACTACAACTACTACCACTACAACTACTTCGACTACAACAACAACAACTCAAACTACAATAACTTGTATGTATTGTTCTTCTGATTATTATAAAAGAACTTTGAAGATTTTTGTTTGATCTTCAGTCACTCCTGTTGGTATTTATGCATTAAATATTCCAACATGTGCTACATGGAATCAAACTGGAGCAAAAATGGCTGGAAATGTAAATGGAACGTTAGGCTCTGATTTAGGATCGCTCTCAAGCCCCGTAAGCATTTTTGTTGACAATGATGAAGTTTTATATATTGCCGATCGAGACAACAATCGAATTACGAAATATCCTCCTAATGCAACTGTTGGAATTCTTGTTGCTGGTAATGGTACTGCCGGGAACGATCCTAGTCTGTTGAATGGAGTGAAAGGTGTAGCCATTGATCAATATGGTTCTATCATTGTTGCCGACAGTAACAATTATCGAATCCAAAAATTTTTGATAAATTCAACAGTAGGAATTACATTAGCTTCCAATAGTTCAATTAATCCTCTAGGCCAAATGAGAGATTTACATATAGACGTTAATAATAATATTTATATCACAGATTCAGATAATAATGTAATTAGTAAGTATATTCCATATGCGTCACAAGGTGTAGTTTTAGCTGGTGGCAGTCCTGCGGGTTCAGCTGCCAATCAATTGAGTACTCCGTTTGGAAATTTCATTGATGCAAATGGAACATTATATGTAGCCGATGATGGAAATGCTCGTGTTTTGAAGTACCTTTCTGGATCGATGAATGGAACTCTTGTAGCTGGTATTACTAGCAATCCAGGCTCGAACTTGACTCAACTCAGTGGTCCTATATCAATCATCGTTGATAATAATGGGTATGTCGAAAAGAGATCTGCTTAATTTATTAGAAATGAAAGTTGAAGAGGTTGATCTTGTTTCATTTTTTCAAGAAACTTCAATAAGGGAAAAGTTCACTTCATCTAAAACAAATCGAGTGTTGTACTTAATAAAATGAGAGTTTTCGTAGAAATATCTACCATACCAGTGATTGTTTCCTAATAATCTTAATTGAAACGGTAGGATTTTCATGTTAAAATTTGATAATATTTATTAAAGAACTACTAGTTCTTTCGACTTCTTGTCTTTCGTAGAATGGAAATTTTTGTCACGAAATGTTTCTAAGATCGTCTTGGAAAAGGAATACTTAGAAAGTATATTAATTTGCTCTAGATATATTTACATAGCTGATAGTGGAAATAGTAGAATCATGAAATGGACTACAGATTATTCAGTAGGTGGTGTTTGTGTGATGGCATGTACCGGAACATCAGGAACCGCTCTCAATCAGCTACATGGTCCTAGAGACTTGAAATTTGATAGATATGGAAATATCTATGTTACTGATCAAGGCAATCATCGCATTATGAAATATAACATTATATTGCCAACATCACCTTGTCCCTCAAGTAAGCAACACATTTTCAGAAATATTGAGCTTTTTCGATGGAAAGTATATTTTGATGTTTTATTTGTCTACTTAATTAAATAGGAAAGAAATGAAACATTTTGAATAGTTTTTCTTTTAATTAGGTGGTTAAGAACAATGAGAAGAATATTCCGCAACCAAGATTCATGACTGACGAAGAACGAAATTTAATGAACAATGGTAGAATTTGCACGTATATGACAAATCATATTTCAGTATATCGCACATATTTCATTCAATTATATTCAGCTTTTTTATCTTGAGTGACGATGTTAATCGAGACAGATGCTCTGATTTTGTGTCAGCAGAAATATTCGACCAACAGTGCCCCTTACTATACATGATCCTCTGTCAATAAAGTAAAATCACTCGAAGCAAAAATCGAGAAGGAGAGAAGGAGAAAGAATAGGATGCGCACTGTTCGACAAGGTAATTTCATTTACACCGATATCAAATATAGTTTCAACATCGATGAAAATCTGAGCTGGACGGAGAAGGAAATTTTCTCCGTGGTCCAGGAAAAGAGCATTTCGCAGTGACTGGCGTTCCATGATGATGTGTTGTTCGACATGCTGAAGTATGAATTGAGCCTGTCGAGCGCTTGCATCATGATCCACTTATATGATTTGTTGTTTCATTCGATGAGGATGAAGGAGAAGAAAGAAGTTCAAGTGCAGCACAGCGGCGTCCACCTCAGTCTCTCTTCTTCTCCTCTCTCGATCGTATTTGTATAGGTGCGTGTGATTCTTGTCTGCGGAGTACACAAAAATTAAAGATCAATATCGATTCATTCATTCATTCGTTTGTTCGTTTCAATTCGATGTGTTGGATTGTGTTCGCCGTTTAATTCGTGACTTATCAAAGTTAATGCCTGAAGAGAGTTTATCCAATCTCGAATTTCGCTCTACGAACACGTTCGGCGGCAACGTCGAGGACCAGTTACTTTCGACTCTTCTGCAGAAGCGAACGAAAGAAAGAGAGACAGAGAGAGAAAGGCTTAAAATTCCATTTGTTCAACAGATCAGATTGATCTCTGTACAAAAGAAAGAAATGTCGTCATTAAGAAGGCAACTAGAGACGTATTTGTTCTTCGTCGATCAGAACAAATCAAACGAAAGATATTCCGCTGAACCATCTGCCAACAAAGCCAATTAGATACATCTTTCTTTTGTTACATTATTTACATTTCATTGATCTACGGATCAAACTCGAGTGTCTTTCTCTTCATCTCCGAACCGGACTTGTTCCTCGTCAAGGTGCTCGCTGTGTTTTCCCCGTGTCGAATTCTCATTTGTGACAGACGCGTGTTGATGCACTTTCAGACATTAGACTAAAACAACAAATAATGCTCATCGTCGACAAACATAACAATCAATCTGATTAGCTGAGAGAAGAACATTTCTTTCTTCGTTTGATTGATTCGATTTCCTTGTCTTTGTGTGTCGCTGACTGGAAGCTCTTTGCCATCCGCATACCCACCACTGTGCTGCACCAGCGAGAGAGAGAGAATAGCAACCATTTGTCGGTCGTGTATATTACTTTCTTGTGTCCATTAAAGATGTTCTTACATTAGTAATGATTTCCGCTGTGACTGACGCCTCCACAGTGAGGAGATCTCTTTCTCCTTTGCAAGTCGAACGAGCTCCTTCCGACATGTTGTCAACGGATGAAGTGCTGCTGCTGCTGCTGCTCAATGAATCTTTGTTCATCAAATGACTCGGTTTTGTCTGGTCTTTTCGAGAAGAGATTGAATCAATGGATCGAATCCGAAATCATGTCCTCCTTCTCCTCCGGGCACATTTCTACTCATATGTCGACTTCTCCCCTTCTCGTTTCCAAGTCAATGATTTGTCACACTGAAACAGAAAGAAGCAAACGATGTAACTTTGTAGTCGATGGAGAGAAAATTGATACGTAGTCTACACTGGATGTTAAAAGAAGAGAAAAACGACGAACGTGAAGAGCAATCTGCCTGCCTCGGCAATGAGAGTGTCGAGATTCTCTGATTTCTCAGCGATTTTTTCTCGATCGTCTTTCATCAGTCTGGATGTAATCGATCTTCTGATTCTTCATTTCGTTTTTTCTTCTCTTCGTCGTCTCCGGATTGATCTGTATACACATAGACAAATCGGCATGTCAATGGAGAAGAGAGTTGTTTGTCAGACCGCCATTGTGTTTCTTTTCTGCGCATTGATTAACAAAACGATGCTGATCGGGATGAAAGAGAAGAGAAGAGAAGAAATAGCACCAATCAGCAATCTTTCCGACTGTTCTCCGGCTGAGTTTTGATTCGTTGATTCGACTCGTCTCTGATTTTTCTCTTTCTCTTTCTCTTTCTCTTTCTCTTTCTCTTTCTCTTTCTCTTTTTCTTTCGACGATTGTGTCTACAATGACAGATTAATCGCATTTTCATCAGTTCTAGAAAGAGAAAGCGAGACATATATATCGACCGATCGCATCCAACCGACGAGCAGATAAAATCACCATGAGTGCAAGTCCAACATCCCGTCATCCAACGAAAAAAATCGGTAAATCATCCAGTCTGAATTCAAACATCAACAATCATCGTCATCGTCGCCTCCTCGTCACAAGCAGCGTTTCCACGGTATTTGCCTCACGCCCTGCTCCTCCGAGCAACGGAACGTTACCAACGAACACCGAAATGCGTTACCGCTCGATGCCGAATCCACGCTCTGTAATGCAATCAGCTCAATGCCGAAATCACGGCGTAGTCTCGGCGCTGAAGGATCACAAACGATATTGTAATTGGAAAGATTGTATATGTGCCAAATGCACGTTGATCGCCGAACGGCAACGCGTCATGGCCGCACAGGTCGCTCTACGCCGACAAGAAGCCGAAGACGAAAACGACGCGCGATAGCTGAGCGCGATCTATGGAACACTACCGCAGAGCATTTTAGCCCTGCGACGATCGTTAAATGCCTGAAATGAAGGTTTATCTACCACATCGGTTTCACCCGAGGACGAACGCATCGAGTCGAATAACGAAGGTGAAGAGTCGAATGATGGTAAGAGAGAAGGACACGTTCGTTTGGTGAAGATCGAATTCTTCTTCGATTAGTCATTGTCACGTGGAGAAAAACGGAGAAAAGATGAGGATGATGAACGCGCTCAGGAAGGGGATGATGCCGATGAACACGATGAAGATAGTCAGAGCGAAAGTCCTCATTCTTCCTCGTCCTCCGAACATCATCCAATCAAACCAGCATCGACCTCACCACCTGCTGTTCGATCGAACGATGATCTCGTTCCCGTTCGAAGTGCCTCGCCCATCTCCCCATCATCATCCCCCTCCGCATGCACCAGCGCCAGTCTGACCAAAGAAACACTGAGTAATTCAACACATCGACAGCAACATTTGTTTTCCCTTCCATCGAATGAACATGAGATGTCCGAAGCGATGAAACATGTCGTCGCCAGCGTCTATTCCGAAGTAACTCCGCAAATACGAGTAAATCCGCATTTAGTCCGATCATGGCCTAGACCTATTTGAATCATCACCATTATCATCATAATCATTTCTTCACCGCTCCCTATCCTCCATCTCATTTTCGACCGGTACACCTTCACTCAAATGTTTTCTGCTCGAATCTGCGCCGGCAGAAAGACAGACGAGAATGATTCGGCTCCGCTCGGCACTGAATTCACTCCAGCGTTTGTACCGCTTCGCTGTGTTTGGCGTCATTAAAATCGATCGCTTGCCGATTGATGAACAGTTTGACCGTCTTCGGACCTTTGTCTATCGAAACGAACGTTGCTCAGCCACAGAAAACGATCTTCAACACGAATCTTCGTTACCTTCCGGCGCTTCGATGGCGATCGAATGAATTTTGACCACTTGATTAAATGCAATGTGAAGAATTAACTGAAAAGAGAAAAATGTTCGTCTATTTGCGCGTTGTCGAGGGAGCTTTTACTTCGGGATCGTCTTTGTCGGATCGAAACATGCCCCGCTGGTTCCCGAGGACAGCCTTTTGCCATTTATTGATTCCATTCAAGGCCATATAGCCCTTTTCATCGATACACGACTTCAGATCAGCCTGAACAATGTCGATCGACGAACAAGGAAAGGAAAGTCGAAGTTCATCGCTCACATATCTCACGTCTTTCGATGGCGAATCTTTGTAAAACTTCTTGATCATTTGTTCGATAAGCATGGCCACTATAACGATCCTCTGCATCTTTTACCAATGAGAATTTTTATGAAGATAGACGAGAGATTCAACGGAGAAGAAAAAACAAAACGAGATAAAACTCCCAAATGAAAATGTTTGATCACGAGATTAGACAGCGAACATCGTTGCAAATGCATGTGTATTTTGAAAATAGTCTCTTCCAACACTGCGCCATTGGTCTATCGCTCGACCAATCCGATGCGATGATTCATCCCCCACCGTTCTGTTAAACAGCTGAAGAGACGCAACGAAAGAAGAGAAATCGGCATCGATACGGGTATTGTTCAACAACTGTCGATCGCCTTCGTCGAGGATTCAGAAGGAAAGTTCGAAGTGTGTCCTACGGGTAGAGAATTGAACCGGTGAAGATGGGACAAATGCTCTTCATCAGAAGAAAGCGGTCGAGGATGATCGTCAAATCGTTGTATTTATTGAGAAAGATCACAACAAAAATACTGCTGAATAAATAAACGATTAGAATGTGTGAAGAACGTTATTCAATGAAGGAGATTAATCAATAGAAATGAAACTGAAAGAGACAATCAAAAACAACGAGATTCGGATTTGATGTCGTTCGTTTTAATGGAAGCATTTTCATAAAAGTTCCGAGTGGTGTCAAGGACGATCGATAGAGTGAAATGTAACTGAATTAAAACGAGAGAAAAGATCACTGTTGAAATGATCAGCGAGAATGAGAAGAGAAGGAGGAGGAGGAGGAGGAGAATGGAAATGTCGAGATTCAAGCGTCGTTGACCATTCAGAAGGAACGAATCGTGAGCGAAAGCATCGGATTGTCGATTCCCGGGACTCTGAAACGAGAAGAAAATTAGTCGATGTGACGAAGTTCCGGGGGAAAATGTGGCCTTTCGAATGGCGTAGCGAACAGCGTCGATGATTTTCTTGGTTCGAGAAGTCTTTTTGAATTGTACTTCTTCCACTTCGTCATCTTCGTCACTGATCTGAGCACAAACATTGTCCACAGGAGTGTTGAGCGACAAAAATGTCCTGTTCCTGCGACAGTGAATCCGATCTTCGTCTCGTTTAAGCCTACGAACTCATCATGAGCAAAAAACCTCCCCAATCCTATTTGTTGGCGATCGCCTTGGTTTTTCTTTTCATTCTTTCAAATCTCCGATGTACAGACGAATCGCTGAGGACAACGTCTCGGACATTCTTCGCCCTCGACGTGGAATGGTCAACATCTCCGAATCATTTCTTTCGCTTCTACAAGGAGAATCCAGCGAAGAATGAATACGACGAAGATCGAATCTGGAAACTTCTACTGGAAGATCTTCTGAAAAGGTATCCGCATCGGCGAGCATCGGCATTTCATGCGATGCGAGGAAAAAGATCGATTGACACCGCTTAACCTTCTCTGAGATGCCTTTGTGTAAAAAAGTTTTTCTTTTATCAAATAAAAGATCCCACACTTCGCCCTGCACGACGCCATATCATGATCAACTCAGACGAAATTCCCCTCGGTCTGCAATAACGAGTGGATCAAATCTGATTCGCGGAAGTTCGAATCTTCGATATTCTTTTTTTATTCTTCGGCTCATCAGCACTCGAACACGAAGGACAGCAAATCTCAACGATAACGATGTTATTTCTGTCGCGTCACTTGATCAGATTCAGCAAACCGTGCGTTGTCTATCCTTTCCGAACACGAGTATTTCTAAAGAAAACTTCCTCTTCAACAAAAACCAGCAAATGGTTGTCTGAAGTTTCCATCGAAAGACAAAAGCATCGATGTTGCTCGATGGAAGAGAGTGAAAAGACGAAGGGGATCAGTGAATGAGAAAATGTTTTCGTACAAATCTTTGCGCTTGACCACAAGCGCCACGACAGGCGAGACATGCGATCGGAACCGAGTCCGATTCATCGCTGTCCGTTGCACAACTGTGTCCATTCATCGCCTCGGGAGAGATTGCAGTCATGACTTAACAATACATGTCAACTTCGGTGGAAAGTCAATCTCGATCGGCAACAAATCATGGTCAACTGATGATTTGAGAGGATTTCCACTGATGATGATCCGTTAATAAGGATATTCGATTGCACGAAAGGATTTTTCCAATCTTCATCTCGATCGTGTTCTCTCCGATCAGTTGACCTTCCAGTTCTTTCTGGCCGGGAGGACTCGAAAAGAGAGAATTCTGCGATATAAAAATAGCATTGGATATCGCCTTCGACACAGCACTCGAGAGTCTGACTGGTGACGGAAAGGAGTAACTTGACAACCACGCTGATCTTTCACCATGACGAATCTCGCACAATAGAAAGAATGAGGACATGAATAGATCGACTTTTGTTTCCATCAAACGAGAAGAATGCGGAGTCGAGTCAGCTCCTCCGCCAAGCTCACTTCGATGCTCGATGAGACAAACAAACTTCCACCCTGGACAAGTGTGATGCGTTTCGTCAGTGCAACAATTCTCTGAGGTCATGACGAACTGAAATTCAACGCTGTTTTGTTCTTACTCGTAGATGAAGATCCAACTAGACATGCTGCTCAATTAAGATTAGGATAGATCATCATGAAAGACCTAGACGTTAATCAAAGGCAAAGATAGTGGAGTTACAAGATGTGTGTCTGAGAACTCTTCGGGGGAACGAATCTCGCTCAAACAAAAGTGACTCGATAAACAGAGTACATCAGATAGGGTGGAAATGATGGATGATGAAGGTGGAAAACAATGTCCTCCCAGTAGAATATTCGATCACTATCGATTGTTCCTTTAAAAGGAAGTATCTTGATTGATTCATTGACGACGATTCATCTCGAATATCATTCTTTACATAGATTCATCAATACATCTAGGCAGTTCGACTAAGGAGAGATCATTCTCGGCTTCGCCTTCTGATTCTTTCTACAGTGTGCTGTCGAAAACTGATGAAAAAATAAGTACTCGTATCGATATATATTATAGATTAAGTTAAAGCAAATGGCAAAGCTCCAATCGAAGAAAAAAAATACGTCAATGACAACGGTAGCCCTTCGCGTGCCTCATTTGAGTAGCAGGCGACATTCAGAATATCAACAGGAGACGCGGTCGAATCGAAGATTGACCTAGAACATCTGACTATGTTACATCTCAATATTGTCTCGATCTTAGTTGTTGTTTGTGCTGTTGATCGTGGTTTCGGTGCACCACTAGATGATTACGTCAACACCTTCGATCCAGCATTTGATTGGAAACGTCTGCGAACTTATCCGCAAGCGACCTACACACTCTACGTTCTGAACATAATATCTCAGAAGTGGTTCGATGGTGATACATCATTCTCTCCGCATCATTCCTTCGAACGCTTTGCTGTGACATAGAGACATTTTCATCTCGGCCGATCTGGTGGCACTACTTGACTATCACCGTGCCGATAAATCCTCGACCATCGAGAACGGCGTTTCTGCTGATTGGCGGTGGAGACAATACCGATGCGTAAGGAGATACTTTCGTGCCCACTTGCAATCAAGCGACTTGGTTGGCAACGAAGATGGGACCGATTCCGGCTCATCTTCGACAAGTTCCTAATCAACCGTTCCGATTCTGGGTAAGAAGATTTGCTCTGCTCACAGGGCAATGATCCGAGAGATCAACATTGCTCGATGTGGAAAGGCCGATCCGTTGAACAAAAGCCGCGACGACGATGCACTCATCGCTTGGACATGGAAGACGTATCTCGATAGCAATGGAAGCGACCCAAGGGTGTTGCTTCGTTTCCCCATCACTAAGGTAATCTGGAATCGATCAATATTTTCCCAGCATCTCTATCATTCTCATCTCTCCAATCAAATGATTACAGGCGATGGTCAGAGCGATGAATGCGATTCAGCAATTCTTAGCACAAAAAACTATTGTCGTTCCCCAGGAATTCATCATTGGTGGCGCATCGAAAGTGAGTTTATCTCTCAATTACCTCTTCTATTCGAACACACGGAAGGTATCATGACTTCCTCTTCTTCTAAATTGGCTCCAACATGGACTTTGATGTGCATATAGGTTGCACGGCCAGGATAGATCGTCTTGAACGTAGCAACACCTTGCGAATTGGTGATTTGTTGACCTGTTGTATCGACAGAACGAAGTCGTCCAGGTCCCTCATGACGAGCATTCAGTGCGAACTTACCTCGGAAAAATGTGGAATTATCTGTGGATGCGCCCATCTGTCCCAGACTGGCAGCGGTGTAGTGCGAATAGATACCTGTACTGTCACAATGCCAAAAGATCAATGACGGTATTGGTCACGGATGTACATGTTCGAGTGTCGAGAATCAGCAACGATAGACGAAATGGAATACCCGGACATCCTTCGCTAGAGCATCGGTAGATCAAAATCATGAGACAAAGACCAATGAAGGAATCTCTCACCTAACGTCTTGTCGCACAGTTGAATTCTAATAATACGGTCCTTCTGTCACTTCCGAAGCGAGCTGCCGCTCGTTTGCATCGTTGTGCTACGAGTCAGAAGCGATGCTCCGATACAGCAACGCTGTCCTCCTGGAAATCGATTACCTGATGTTTCCCGGCACGCCACCATATGAATGGTAACAGCCAAAATGACCAAGGCTTTGAGCATATTCCCTCCAGAAATGAGAAAAGTGCTCCTGTCTGCTTCTCTCTCTCTCTGACGGAAACCTGCTCTATTCGAATCGATCAGATGATCTCCCACACGAAAAGCAGCACCATTTATACCTTCGAGAAAAAGACTTTTCTCGTCTCTGTGTCATGTAACTTCAAATTATTTC